TGCCTTCCTCATGGTTAGTCCCTTAATCCAGTTCCATTTCCACTCATCCTGGTGAAATCTTTTTGTCAATCCATCAAGAGATTCATTGTTCAGAACAACAGCCTAATCTCAGACTTTTTACTTTGGCGTCACAGTCTATTCTGATCTCTGCTTTGCCTGTGAAGATCACCAGTGAACCTGTTTTCATTCTTTTTCTGCACTGTATTTTACTGGCAATGCCCACTGCCTGATTCGCTAAGGCACGGTTTCCTACCTAATTCCTAAATCCCCACACCAGTTTCCTTTTCTAGCCTTTTCCTCTTTCCCTCCATATATCTGCTCCATTCCCTCTTTAGTAAAGTTTGATCTACTTGTTAATTTGGTCTTTTTTCTTCCTTTTCCTCATCAGAATTTAATTTGTTGGTACTCAAACCAGCAAGGTTTTTATAACTTGCACTACAATCTTCCTCGCCAGATTATTTCCAGGCTCCTAATGCCTATGACAAAGAGGTCTCAGTCACCTCTTCTCTACTTCCTATTGTCCTAGATATCTGTTATTCTCAAAGGGTTATCAGGCTACCAGGCATAATTTTTTGTTTTCCTCTGAGTTACAGCCCTTCTTTTGTTCTCTCCACATTAGAATGTGGTATGTCCCGTCTCCACATTGGCAAGAGGCCCTGAGTACAAAAAAAGATAACAAGGCTCCCTGCTCTCCATACTGCTCCTTATGGGGATGGACTAACTCGCTGCAATGGTACAGGTTGGGGACTTCCTACTGGGGACCAGCTTTGCTTGAAAGGATCTGGGAGTCCTAGCAGGAAGCAGACAAAAAATGAGACAACACTATGCCCTTGTAGTCACAAAGGCTAGTGGCATTTTGGGCTGTATTGACAGGACTATATTAACTATATATTGACAAACAGTTATTCTCTTTTATTTAGTCATATCCAGATGCTGTTTTGGGATCAATTTTGGGACTGATATAGATTCAGTTTTGGGGCCCCAATACAACTAATACATAAATAAACTGGAGCAAATGCAGTAGTGTTTTCAGTCTCATCTAGGGGCTAGAGCACATTTCCTATGAGGAATGACTGTGGTAACTGGGTTTATTCAGCCTGAATAGGTGGCTATGGGGGGGACCTCACAGCCAGCTTCCAATATTATGAGTAAGCTATTGAGAAGGCAAAGCTAAATTCACTACTGATATGCATTGCATGGGAACATGACACAATGGACTTAACTGGGATGGGGGAAGTTTTGACTAGATGTAGGAAAAGTGTTTTATTTATTTATTTTTTTACTGTTAAGAAAATTAAGTACAAGAGTAGGTTGCTTAGAGAGGTTGTGGAATTCAGCCTTGGATGTTTTCAAGACCTGATGGGAAAAAGTCCTGAGTAAACTTAATTCTGAATTCAGTGTTGTCCTTGCTTTGAGCAGATGGTTGGAATACAGACCTCTTGAAGAACCTTTCCACATACAGGATTCTCTAATTCCATGATATCTCTGTTGAAAATGTTTTCCCCAAAGTTCCTTGCTTCTCCAAGTTAGGATGTGTTTAGATTTATATCATTGCTATATGTCCTTTTAAAATTTCAAGTCTTTGCTCTCAGACACAGAAAACTTAAAGCACTTCAAAATAAAGGCTGCCAAATTTTTCTTTAAATGTGTACAAAACAAGATTATCTCTCTGGGCCCATTTATGCATACTAGTAGTATTTTTTTTTCCTGAAATATTTCAAGAGAGGAAAATGAGACCTGAGACAAAGTGATTTTTTTAAAATGTATTATTCTCTGACTTTTACTGGTCTACCATTGGTGCTACCGAAGCTGCTGACAGTCAAACACAACTACAGTGAAAATTTAGCTCCCCATAATGCCAGCTAGACATTACATGATGTAAACTAGGCAAGTTGCCAAACACTTGGTTCATTTGTAATGGGAATACCATGGTTTGGCAAATCAAGAGGTAAATCAGAATATACTATATTTTATCATCTGTTATTAACATACTATGTATTTTAGGTGGTCTTGTATGGAATTAATAACAATATATTGGCCAGTTGTAAATATTATTCCTGGAATCAGCTGAATTCTTATAATTGTATTAAAAAGAAAATCAGTAAGATTTTCCTCTGAGATCTGCTTAATATTTCCAAATATGTAGCACTTAGCTAAGAGATGAGTGGTAAGGCTAAAACCCACCTAGAGATGAGGCTTGTAAAAGAGATAAAGGATATGTATATATAAATATTTTAAAGTATGTAAACAGTAAAAGGAAAACTAGGGATAATGTTGGTCCCTTGCTGAATGAGGGGGGTGTACTGGTAATGGGAGATGCCGAGAAGGTGGAGATACTGAATGCTTTCTTTGCTTCAGGGACTCCCCCCCAGGACTCCTCAACCCTGGTGGGAGGAGAAAGGGTCTGGAAAATGGAGGGCTCCCCCTTGGTTGACGAGAGAGTGGTTCAGGAGCATCTGAGTGGGCTCAATGCACACAAATCCATGGGTCCTGATGGGATGCATCCATGTGTGCTAAGGGAGTTGGCAGAGGGTGATCGCTGAACCACTCTCTATCATCTTTGAAAGGTCCTAGAGAACAGGAATGGTGCCTGAAGACTGGAGGGTAGCCAATCTCTTCAACAAGGGCAAGGAGGAGGATCCAGGAAACTACAGGCCAGTCAGTCTCACCTCTGTCCCTGGAAAGGTGTTGGAACTGCTTGTTCTGGATGCCATCTCCAAGCAAGTGGAAGAGAAGAATGTTATGAGTAGTCAGCATGGATTCACCAAGGGAAAGTCATGCTTGACCAACCTCATTGCCTTCTTTGATGGCATTGCCAGCTGGGTAGATGGGGGGGGAGCAGTGGATGTCATCTACCTTGATTTTAGCAAGGCTTTTGACACTGTCTCCCATGACATCCTGATAGCAAAGCTGAGAAAGTGTGGGATAGATGAGTGGACAGTAAGGTGGGTTGAGAACTGGCTGTCTGGCTGAGCTCAGAGGGTGGTGATCGGTGGTGCAGAGTCCGGCTGGAGACCTGTGACTAGTGGTGTTCCCCAGAAGTCGGTGCTGGGTCCATTCTTGTTCAACATCTTCATCGATGACTTTGATGAGAGAATAGTGTCTCCCTCAGCAAGTATGCCGATGACACAAAGCTGAGAGGAGTGGCCTACACGCCAGAAGGCTGTGATAGCATTCAGAGAGACCTGGACTGTCTGGAGAGATGAGCAGGAAGAAACCAAATGAGGTTTAATAAGAGCAAGTGTAGAGTCCTGCACCTGGGAAGGAACAACCACATGTATCAGTACAGGCTGGTGGATGACCTGCTGGAGAGGAGCTCTGAGGAGAAGGACCGGGGGGTCCTGGTGGATGACAGGTTGACCAGGAGACAGCAGTGTGCCCTTGTGGCCAAGAGGGCCAAAGGGATCCTGGCGTGCGTGGCCAGCAAGTCAAGGGAGGTGCTCTTCCCCCTCTACTCTGCCCTGGTCAGGCCTCACCTGGAGTATTGTGTTCAGTTCAGGGGTCCCCGCTTCAAAAAACACAGGGATATCCTGGAAAGAGTCCAGCAGAGAGCCACAAAGATGATACGGGACCTGAAGCATCTTCCCTATGAGGAAAGGCTGAGAGACCTGGGTCTGTTCAGCCTGGAGAAAAGAAGACTGAGATCTCATCAATGTGTATAAATACCTGAAGTGTGGGAGACAGAGGGATTTGGCCAACCTCTTTTCAGTGGTTTGTGGGGACAGGACAAGGGGTAATGGCCACAAGATAGAGCACAGAAAGTTCCGCACCAACATGAGAAAGAATGGTGAGGGTGCCAGAGCACTGAAACAAGCTGCCCAGGGAGGTTGCGGAGTCTTCTTCTCTGGATATATTCAAGGCCCGCCTGGACACCTACCTGGGCAACCTGCTCTAAGGAACCTGCTTTGGAAGGGGGGTTGGACCCGCTGTTCTTTTGAGGTCCCTTCCAACCCCTACAGTTCTGTGATTCTGTGATTCCGTAACACCTAGCAAGTCAGTAGAAAATTATGACAATGCTACAGCTAGGAGTACAGATAGGAGATCACCACTATCAACAACAACAACAAAAAGAAACTGGGTGTGTCTTGTCATATTTTATAAAACATAGAAAATTGAAGATAGAGCAATGTGGATCCGTCATAGAAGCTAGAGGTTTCTGGGAGAAGGATGAATAACAAGATAACTGAGCTGTACGTGGATGTAACATAATGGCAAGTATCTCAGAAATTGAATACACAAAGTACAGAAATGCTAAAATATAGTAGCTTAAAGCAGTAGTTTCCTAAATGATCTCTACCAGTATTGAAGAATATAGCGACAGCAAGGGAAGATACTTGCCTGACTGTTTATGAATGATTATCAAAGATGTGCAGAGTGTTGATTGACCTTGTATGTAATGCACTAAATGAACTTTATGTATGGAAGACAGCTTAGGAATTAAGAAACTGTGTGCACTCTAATCCTGACAGCTGATGACAACATTTTCATTCCTGTACAATGTCTGTAGAAGTCAAGTGAAAGGTAACCATTTCTTAAAATGTCTGTAATGGGCAGAACTACCGCAAAAGCACCCAGATAGATCTATAGATTTACATACATCAATTCTGTGATCTGGAACAGGAAATGGAGTCTTATATTAGAAGGGGCATGCATGTGAGAAATACGTGCAGAGTCCTGAAGAGAGGAGTGAAAAATCTGTTAAATGGTCTCCAGGAAACCTGCCAGATTTCTGCTAACCTCAGGTTGCCACATGGATTCTACCATAAATATTCACCTGCACAGTATGAAGATTCAAGTTCATGCTCCATCAGAAAACTTGCTATTCCCCTTGGTGTTTTAGCTCATCTATTCAAGAAAGTGGGGTATGTCATGGCCTCTTGTAGAGTTTCTGTTAGAAACTTTGACTCAGGAAATTTTGAAAATTATCCATTTATGAAAATTTGACTCAGGAGGGTTCTGCTTATTCACATCAATATCTTACTTGCCAATTTCAGACTCACCTTGCTTCAGGTTGAAGGGTTGTTTCAAGGTGCTAGACTCCACAATCCTTCCTCAATGGATATTTCCAGGTGGCATTGACTTTGATTTGTTCTTGTAGTCCATGAGGTCTGGGGCAGAGGTAAACGATGGCATGCTTTGTCCCTGAGTAAATACTGTTCATGTAACCATCCACACCACTGCAGTCACTAGCCAGACCACCGTTTCCTGACGCCCATATAAAAATATTTCCTCTACCACAATGACCCTAGGGGAATAAAAAAAATAACAAAACAAAACTGAACTTTCCATACAGACCTTTTATTTTAAACAGCCAGTGTTATATTTCTGCCAAACTTAGAAGGTGTTTTTGATTATGTAGCTTTCAACTACCACGGAATTAATATAGAAAAACTTGTGTTCTTCAGGGAGCCCTGTCATACATCTGCAAAATAAGGTTCTTTTTATGTACCTACACATTAACATTGACATCCATTCCCTCATTTAATTAACAACATTTGAATGTTGTTTCCTTTCATGTAGTATTTTTTTTTTTTTATTTATTGTTATTATTCCTAAACTGATCTCTTGCTTTGGATGCAGATAAAATTGGAAAATTCTAAGATTTGGTCAGAAAAACAAAAACAAAAACAAAAAAACAGTACCAGTAAGGGTCTCTTTTTTTCCTTATGTTTTTTTGAAACCTAAGACTGGACTTTCCTAGAGAGTTTTGAAAAAAATCTGAAGTGAATGAACCTCTGGATTTTGACTTGAGAGGAGAACTTACTAAATTTTTTGGTTCTTTCTTTCACTGAGTTCAAAGCTAACCTGCTGGGACTGGGAACTTTCATGTCATTAGGACCCTGGTCGCAACTATAAATACTTGTGGTTGCTAATGTAGGTATGCCTGCTGGAGAATCTAGAGCATGTATTACATGTCTGACAAGGAGTTGAATTCCAAAGGAGAAGTTAAAACTGCATTAGTAATGCTTAACCTTAACAGGCAGATAAATGATATATGTTGGAGAAATGCAATCTAATGTTCACTAGCTACTTGAATTTCTTTAATAAAGCTGACAAACTCATGAATATTAAAATGAGTCCTGGGTTATATGTCATTATGTAAGCTGTTCCTCTTGCATGGTAAATGGTGTCCATGGAGTTAATAAAAAGAAGAAAAGAGGAGAAAGTGAGGTCTAGACCACAAGGGAAAAGGTCAACCTGTTAGAAAGGGGGTCTCAGTATTCTTTGTTCAGTACTTGATCTAAGGAACCAGCAGATAATGTGGATATTCTTTTTTTTTTTTTTTTTTTTTAAGAGGAGATAATCATAGAATAATTTAAGCTGAAAAATATTTCTACTAAAGGATAAAACCAGAACTTAACTGTATGAAAAGTAATCCATCCATTTATGAAACATATATTTGTGTACAGTCAGAAAATGTTGCAATGGATTTTTTTTTTAATGAAAAAAAAAAAAACAAACAATTAGTTATAAGTGATAAATAGGTGATAACTTTTTCTCTTCAATAAGCCTAATCTTTTCTACCTATTTGTCTACTAATTAATATACTAATGTAGTTAACATTCTAAGAAGATGCAGATTTACAGTTGGAAGAAAAATGAAATTTTCAAGTAGATTTGGGATAAACTGCATAGAATTATCTCTGAAAATCCTTAATAAAAACATATAATTTATTGTAATTTCTTTTTTTAATTAGTGAAATTATTTAATTAGCAATATTATTTTTGTGTGAGGCTTTCTATGAGTGGAAATTTCGAAAGAGCAATCATAAGATAACTTTGAAGAATAACCTTTCCAAAAAATTTGGAAAATTAGCAGGAAAATAAGACTTTTAACAGATATTTTTAACCTGTTTTGTACAACTAAATGAAGAAATTCAAATTCGGAATGGCAATATGAACCATATGAAAATGCATTTTATTTCCAACTAAAATCCTGGGACATTCTCTAGTATATACTACCTTTCTCCCTCTCTCACCAGTCTCCGATTTTGCCTTGAAAAGAAGACATTTGCCTTGAAAACAAGATATTTTAGACTGTTTCCTGAAGAATAATATTTTTGATCAATTAGGTCAGAAGCAGCTTCTGTACTTTTGAAACAAAACCGGGAAAAAAAAAGGGCATCTTAAAGGTACTGGATTATCCTTTTAATGCCTCCATTAATATTAAAGAAATCCTGCAAATACACTCTCTCAGTCTTGGAAAATATATTAATTGGGTGTATGTTGGAAATAAAATTCAAGAACTCACTTTTAATATTTTTTAAATCAAAAGCTTCTTGTTCTTAACAGCTAACCCATTTAGATATTCCTTCACTCTCTCCCTTCCAAAAGCCAGCTACTTCAGCTGACTGCTGCAGTTATTACAGTTATTTCACTGGCTAGAACAGTGAAATGAGCTACAGCCATCTATATTTATATTTGTCCTAGTGTCAGTGTTACTTCCACAAATGGATGGAAAAAAATACAACTTTTCTTAATGCTCAGAACCACATTCATTACCAAGCACCTCTTGAAATTGCACTTTAAGTGCCCCGTTTTCTTTGTGAATCCAACTTGACGTACCTTTCAAAAGCAAAAGGAGATTCCAAACACTTTTTTTTTTTTTTTCTGATTTCATATACTTCCATGTAATCACATATTACTGAAGATAATGGTATAAATGCAAGCAAATTCAGCCTCATTTAGTACAGACAACTCCTAGCTCCTTTCATTGGTAATGCATGTTTCAGACATTGCTGAGTGATAATGAACCATGTACTGATAAAATAGGAAGCACATAACACTATGAATCAAATCTTTTAGAAGCCCAAATCTGCAAACAAGTTTGCTTAAATGTACTCCTATGAATAGGCCCATTGAAATCAAGAAACTATTCATGTGCATAAATTTAAACATATGCAAAAATATTTGAAGACAGGAGATTTAGGTCTTAATTATTTTAGGTCACTGAAGGAAATGGAGGCCACAGTTTCACCCGGAACAGGTGACAAATCTGCTTAGAAAGGTAATGTGGAAGATGAATAAGGGAAGGGTGTATAAGCATTCTTATCCAGAAATATATGAACATACTGATATTGCCATTTAGGATCCAGCTGGGGAATGACTGATCTAGGTAATTATATTGCAAAATCTTTAGAGGAGACATCCCATACAAATTTTAGAAAATACAGATCAAGGACTCAAGGTAGCTGCTGGATGCATAATTCACTCTGGATAATTTGTTACACAAATCTCACCTCCTTTTTCTATTTGTGAATTTCACAAGAGCAGTTTATGATTTTCTTAGATTTATTATTCAGAATTATTCCCTGAATGAAGGTGTATCATATATGAGCAGTTCACTGCAAGTGCTTGATATTCAAAATTTGGCATTCAATATTGTTATGTTGGTTAGTCAGAGCAGAACACTATGCGTGTTGTGTTTTTTTGCTGAGTGAAAGTAAGTTAGAGTCAGGTTTTCTGTTGTAAATCATCATATTTCAGAATTCAAAATTCACTTTCTATTCCCATTTTGCAATAATCACAAGGCATCTCACAAACGTTCTGGTTAAAGACACAGTTGTTCAAAATTAAAACATCATTATTTCCATGGAATTATTTTGTCCTATTATGTCTCTATTTATGTCCTATAATGTCTCTAGTATTCATCTATAACAAGAAGGTTTATCAAAAGATATATCATAATTTAAAAAAAAAAATCACAACAAAACAACAAAACTAATAGAGATAATTTTGTCCAGCTGCATAATCCCCCAGCTGGGATCTCGTGGAATGTCCCATGCCTTATTCATCAGTGCTAATACATTAGGATCAAAACTTCCAAGTGACATTGCTGAAGACTTATAGCATTAGCTGTCTAAAATGAGTCAGAGGAAAGGTTAAAGAATGAGGAGTATCATTTATATCTTGAGAGCCTTGTACTAGTGTAAGGGAAAAAAAATATGGGAAATTCCTATCTTGGTCCTGCTTCTGAAGAAATACTTCCCACATATTTTTGTGGCTCCCCTGTTGCTGAAAAATCCAATAATAAATAGAAGATTGTAAAAACATGGTAAAAGGATAGAAAACATCTTGAAATAGTTCATAACTCCTATTTTTCTTCAGGAAGAAGAGAACAGCTAAAGAATTGGAAGTGAGATATATTGAGAAATTACACTGCTCTTAACACAAGCAATATTTAGTAATTTCTGAGCCCTGGCTCACAGTCAGTCATCCTAACCATCTGCTCAGAACTGAACTTTTTCTTTTTCTTCAGTGTAGTTGAACTATATCAACAGAAACAATTTCTTCAGGGAGAGTAAATGTACCGCTACGTAGGGTTTGATGAAAGACTGAATCTTTGTATTCTTGGAAAGTAAGTCTTCCTGTAACAAGGAGCTAACGTTTGAACATGTCAAAGCAAGCCTTTTAGAACAGGAGATAAGAGCACTTGAATGATTCTTACAAAGTGGTAGCTGGCCCAAAAGAAAATATTTTGTACGGTAATTTATTCTAGGAGTTACATTTCCCTTGGCCTTGACAAGAATTTTGCCATAACTCAGTAAGTTGAGTTTAGGTCCTGCTCCCTTGCAAGGTTCAGCACTGAAATACAGACCAACTGCAAAACCAAACATTTTATTTGTAAAGACAATACTACTGGCACAGACAGAGGCAAGATAATGGTCAGATCCATAAGAGGAATGGCTCATAAAATAATGTCAATCTGAGATGGGGTCTTTATTCATGTTTTAGCTCTAACTATGCTGTTAAAAGCTGTGCTGCAGAAGCTTTAATGCTTCAGCAAATATATTAATTTAAAAATGCTGTCATTAATAAAAATTCTTTTGCTTTTTGAATTGGTTGATAACATACCATCAGAAAGCCCTTATTGCTAATATAAGCTACAGCTGCACTGGAGATGGTAGCTATGCTAACCCTGTGTCACTGCCTCAACATATGGCCTGTTTAAAGTCAGTGTTTACATGGACATTCTACTATATGGAATTATCATGATTGTATTGCAAAAATCATAGGACTTAGTGTTGCTCAGTGATTCCTAGAGTGAGAATACAGCAGAACATTTGTTTACTCCTTTTTTGCTTTCAAAAAGAAATAAAAATGTAAAGGCTTCTCTCTGTCCTTAGAAATTCCTCCCCCCCTCTCCCACCCAATATAAATCATAATATAAGGATTCAAATTCGTGTGGAAGTAAAAGCACTCCTTCTCTTTTATATACAAATATTAATATTTTGTAAAATCTACT